ATGCGGGTTCGTGGTTCTTCCAGTCGGCCAGAACTCTCTTAATTGCTACAATATAAAATGTTTGGAATAGTGCATGTAGGCATCTGAATAGAGTGTCCAGTTTCAGGCCCCACACAGTTGTTTCAATTGATTGGGAGAGAGATTAGTGCCAAAGATTTCGTAAAAAAGTGACTGTGGTGATCTCCTGGTAGAGTTTTGCGACATTTGGGCATGGCCAAAAGGAGTGTAAGTAGAATTTGTCCAGTACCAGGGGGGCATCTGGAGCAATCTGGGGAAACCACCATGAATTTATCTCTCCTTTCATGTCAATGAAGTGCATTTAAATAGGCCCTGGGGATATGGGAGGGGACCATCCTTAGGTGATATAACAATTTAGAGAGGATCATATATTTAAAAATATATACTTTTTATTCGATTGTGTTGCTGTACCCATGTGTAGTGAATCCAACTGAGTCACAGACGTTGTTCCTTTTAGAGGCAACACATTTATTTGTAACACGTAACACAAAGGGGTAACTGCCGCTTCACCAGATACAGCCTAGTGCGGTGGCCACCCAGCTAACTACCATATACAGAGGAGTTACTGCTAGGAAGGGTCGGGCCCTCACTCGGGTCCGCGACCACATGTTGATGCCTAGTAGGACGTAGAGTTTCCAGCTTGAAACGTAGAGCTACCAGCTTGTAGAATGCAGCGACTCCGGTCCCTCTCAGGGACCCGCCTTATATCCTCCCACGGGTCGGGGCCGCTCCACCCCTGGCCCTGCCTGCCTTCTGGAACCTTCTAGCTCCCCCTCGATCCCTCTCGATAGCTCTCCCCGGACACGTGATCACCCCCTAGTCCCCCCACCTGGGGGCCTCTCTGTGGACACTCTAGATCGCGTGTCTGCAGGGTCAACCAGAGTGCCATGGCCCGAGGCAAACCTGTACTTGGGCTGACACTCTCCCACTCTCCCTCGTGTGAGACCGCACTGCACGCTATGCATTGTGCCTGCACTATCCCAGCACTCACCAAGCCCCGCTAGTGCTGGTACTACACCCCCCACATGGTGTACGCGATGCCAATGCATCGCATGCCACGGCCCTTCCAGGCCGGCACCATACAGTGACATCCCCGATGTCACTACACATGAACAAAAGTCCCGCAGCAGAACGTTGGGTGACAACAAAAAACAACCACACGCGAATATCCGTCATGCCCATGGACCCGACGCGTCCTAATTGATGGCGGGGGGGGGGGGGGAATTATCGTTTTAACAAAATGTACTCTAAATTTTGATTTAAAGCTTTCGTGACTGCAGTAATTCATATTCTTAGTTTTTTCGGTAAAGTCACGTTGAAGAGAAACAACAAAATAATAAAATATATATAAAACAATTAAAAATTCTCACGACGTTTCGACCATAACTCAAACGGTCATCTTTAGGTGTGTTGGTTTGCATAAATTTATTTTTAAACGGCGCATTTATTTATTTATTTATTAAAAAACGTTAGCGCCACGCGCAGCGATTTCACAGTTTACCCAGGACTAGTCCATCTATATTCTGAAAAGAGGAGGGGGGAGACGAATTTTTTTATAATGTATGCTGTCTGAAAGCCGCTGTAAGCGTGAACAATCAATTAAGAACTGAAATGGTTTATCAAATCTTTCCAATGATTGCTAAGATAGAATCCATCTTCTCGGTTGAAATTGTCTCTGTGCTTGTATATGTGGATAGCCTCATGAACGAATCTCTCATGGAAGCCAGATGGCTTACAAAGAACCTCTGTCTTGGAAAAGTCAATGGCATGTGAGCCTACTGAATTAGAACAATGATCTGCTACGGCCGAGGTGTTGGTCCTACCGTGTTTAAGGTCTGCTTTGTGTTCACGAATGCGGTCCGAGACATGTCGTTTGGTTTCTCCAATGTAACTACTACCACAGAGGCAACTTAGTTTGTAGACACCAGGGTATTGTATGTCCGGAATCACATCTTTTACAAACGGAACCAGATCACGGATTTTATGTAATGTGTTGAAACGGACCTGGATCTTGTGTTTATTCAAGATTTTGGAGATCTTTTTTGTGATCCCAGCAATGTAGGGTAAAGTGATGGTTTTGAAAGGCTCCTCAAGAGGGTTCTTCTTCATGGTTTGAGTGATAGCTTTGCGGATTGTATAGTCGGAGTAACCATTAGCCCTAAGAGCTTGGTGTACGTGCTTGAGTTCACTGCTTATGTGTTCCTGGTCGGATATGCATTGGGCTCTATGATACAGAGTCTTGATGAGAGAATTCTTCTGTCATGGATGGTGGTGGGAATCCGGTTTCAGATAAGCATCCGTATGGGTAGCTTTCCTGTAGACAGAGTGGCTCATTGAACCATCAGGTCTCTTTTTAATTAGGACATCCAAAAAAGGTATCTTGCCATCTATTTCGACTTCCATGGTAAATCTGATGGCTGGGTGTATGGAATTGATGTGGTTGAAGAATTGGTCTAGAGCAGGCCGGCCATGTGGCCAGATGACAAAAGTGTCATCCACGTACCTCTTCCATAAGGTTGGGCGCAGAGTGGTAGTCTGGATGGCGTCAGTCTCAAATTTCTCCATGAAAATGTTAGCTATAACTGGAGAAAGGGGGGAGCCCATTGGGGTGCCCTCAGTTTGTTTGTAGAAAGTTCCATTACAAGTGAAGTATGTATTGGTTAAACAGTGTCTCACCAGGGGGGGTACCTCAGTGTTTAGTCCTTGATGAACCAAGTCTTCAATGATTGCAATGGTGTCAGGTACAGGAACCTTGGTGAATAAGGAAACTACATCAAAACTGACAAGCAGGTCGTCTGGGGACAGGGAAATACCCTTGATTGTCGATACCAGGTGAGTAGAATTTTGTACCGCAGAGGTGGTCTTTCCAGTGAAAGGACGCAGGATTTCAGACAAAAAACGAGCTAGTTTGTAGGTGGGGGAGCTGATAGTAGAGACTATGGGACGAAGAGGTGTATCTACTTTATGTATTTTTGGTAAGCCGTATAATCTTGGTGGCCTGGCAGCAGAAGGTTTCAACGAAAACTGTTTAGATTGATCAATTAATGCGGTTGAATCAGAAATTATTTTGTTGGTTTGTGTGACGAGGCTGTTGGTGGGATCTCTTTTTATTTTTGTATAACTACCATCGTCGAGTAATTCTTTAATTTTGTTGTTGTATTCTATTTTATCCATGATGACAGTAGCATTGCCTTTGTCAGCTGAGAGGACTACAATATCATTCCTCTTTTTAAATTTATATAATTCAAAACGCTCATCTTTGCTGAGGTTGCTAGCTGGCATCTTAGCGTTTTTGAGGGTTGCAGCGATTTCAGATCTTGCTACGTCTGCAGCGATGTGACCCAGGCCCCTGAGAGCAACGTCTACTTGGGCAATTATATCATTAACTGGTATGTGTTTAGGTGTGACTGCAAACTTTAGACCTTTAGCTAAAACGGATTTCAGACCATCGGAAATAGAACTGTTACTGCGATTAATTACGACTTTATTAACGTCTAACTTTTTGGTGTGTGGGTCCGGTCTTTTGTTGAAGAGGAGGTTAAATTTGGAGATCAGGTTTTCCTTACATTTGGTCGACATAGTAGAAGCTGAAGAGGCAGTCATATTGTCTACATGTTCCCAATCCGATGTGGACATTATTGCCATCAATGATAAGTGTGATTTGTAGAGTGTCTTGTCTAACTGATCTAGTTCTGTGCGTATAAGTCTGATTTTTTCTGAGATAAGAGCTAAGCTAGTTTTGAAAAGAATTCGTTTCGCATTAGAAGAAGTTACAGCAGCAGAGGTCAGTGTAAATGCGATTGGTATTACCCCAGAGTCGCGGCATCTCTTCAGGAAGGTGAGAGACTCGATCAGCTGAGCTTTCTTATCCTGGAGTTTGTTGAAGGATCTTAAAGTTATGTGAAAACTAGACTATACAATCCGCAAAGCTATCACTCAAACCATGAAGAAGAACCCTCTTGAGGAGCCTTTCAAAACCATCACTTTACCCTACATTGCTGGGATCACAAAAAAGATCTCCAAAATCTTGAATAAACACAAGATCCAGGTCCGTTTCAACACATTACATAAAATCCGTGATCTGGTTCCGTTTGTAAAAGATGTGATTCCGGACATACAATACCCTGGTGTCTACAAACTAAGTTGCCTCTGTGGTAGTAGTTACATTGGAGAAACCAAACGCCATGTCTCGGACCGCATTCGTGAACACAAAGCAGACCTTAAACACGGTAGGACCAACACCTCGGCTGTAGCAGATCATTGTTCTAATTCAGTAGGCTCACATGCCATTGACTTTTCCAAGACAGAGGTTCTTTGTAAGCCATCTGGCTTCCATGAGAGATTCGTTCATGAGGCTATCCACATATACAAGCACAGAGACAATTTCAACCGAGAAGATGGATTCTATCTTAGCAATCATTGGAAAGATTTGATAAACCATTTCAGTTCTTAATTGATTGTTCACGCTTACAGTGGCTTTCAGACAGCATACATTATAAAAAAAATTCGTCTCCCCCCTCCTCTTTTCAGAATATAGATGGACTAGTCCTGGGTAAACTGTGAAATCGCTGCGCGTGGCGCTAACGTTTTTTTTATAAATAAATAAATGCGCCGTTTAAAAATAAATGTATGCAAATCAACACACCTGAAGATGACCGTTTGAGTTATGGTCGAAACGTCGTGAGAATTTTTTTATTGTTTTATATATATTTTATTATTTTGTTGTTTCTCTTCAACGTGAGTTTACCGAAAAAACTAAGAATAAAAATGTACTCTCTTAAAAAAATTTAGTGGGAGCTAAAGAGACTTTTCAAACGTAAAAATGCATTTTCCCCTTACAGCTACCCGTCGGGTTCCATATTCCTAGTTAACTACATCACAGACAAACAAATTCCGATTGGAAAGTATTACAGAGCTTATATATGTATTATTTGTATAACACGTTTCTCCCTCCCCCGAACCACGTGTGTTTACTGTTACAGAGCTGAATAAAGAAATCAAAATCATGGCAAGTCTACCAGTGAATGACTCTTTGAAAAACGAGACCGCTCTACTGCCAGAGCAAATCTGGAGCACCACTAACCACATAGTGTACGCTATCTTACTCATCACGTGGTTGCCATCCTTTGTGATGCTTGTGCTCATGGTGTGCCTCTTCGACCGGGTGACGACGTTCACCGAGAGCACCAAGTACATCCTCTTCATGAACCTGATGACCAGCGACACGCTCTACGTGCTCCTATCGGGTGTGTTGATGATAATAAGATTGGAGCGGGTCTCGCTGATTCGCGTGCTCTGCTGTATTTTAATCAATCTAAGTACGACGTTTCAAATCAACAGCACCCTCACAATCACGGCCATGGCTCTGGAGCGCTACTTGGCCATTTGTCAGCCACTGCGATACAACCAACTGGCCCACCGGCAGTCCGGCCTGCAGGTATGTGGTTGGAAGTGATGATGATGTTCACCATGATAGCACGCAGTATCTCTGACATACCTGGCTAATGTGGGTGCGTGGTACCCCCGGTATTCCATTTTTATTAAGAAAAACGTTCCAGAAATACCTCGGTTAACGAATAATCTGGGAACGAAGTTTTTGATCACGAAGATACGCCATGGAACGTATGTACTTCATTAACCGAGGTATTAGTGTATACCAATGCAAATCAATGTATGACATTGTATTACAACATAAATTAGGAACATATAAAGCAACTTCAAAGGTATTATAAGAGCCCACGTAGTCTATAGCTTTGGTGACGATTCTACAAAGAATTTAGACGTTTCAAATAATAAATTAGCGTTGCTTTGCGATGTGCAGTTTTCAAATCTTCAACTTTATACGTTGGACATTATTATCCATTTTTTAAATTGGATATGTACACCATGTTGGGGAAAAATAAAGATCCATCTGAGTGTAAATGAAATAGTATTTGAGGGAGGAGTTTTTGTATTACTGTATGGATTAGAGAGTTTTACACTACCAAAGTATGTCGAAACTAACTTATTGAACACTGAGTATAGTTGTCCGAGATAGACTAAACAAGTAACGTAATAGTTATTTATAATTTGTTTACTTTGGGTTAGATCATTTCACCACAACTCTCCACAAACTGACAGAGCCGATCAAATATAGTCAGGTGAGCAAATATTCCCACTGATTTAATTGGCTTTTGTCAGCTGTATACATGTTGAACTTCTTTCGCACCGTACATAGCCAACCGTTGCTAATCGAAGGTGCGGGGGAAGGAAAACAAACCAACCAAAAAAAAGCAATTCTAAAGACATTAGTTTTACATTTCGATTTAAAAGTGCATAGCTGCAGTGGCTTCCTAATATCGGAAGAAAGAGCATTCCAGACAGCCGCAGAAGTGCACTTGAAGCGCGCATTGCAGTGACCATCTTTGTCCAATTGTTATCCAAACCAGCTGTAAGGATGACCGATGGTGTATGCTTCTTGATGAGACTTTTCAACCTAATGAAATGAGCTCACGTGATGGCTTGATTTGATTGAATCACAGGTGGTGGAGGGTTATAGTTAAAACACATAACATTATACATACACAATCTGACCAGAAATAAACTAATGAATCGTAATATTGCTTTTACTTTTTGTTTATTTCGGTAAAGTCACGTAAAAAGAAAATAAATTAAATATTAGAATACGACGTTTCGATTGCAACACAAGCAATCATCAGTTTTCGTGACTGCAGGGATTCATATTCTTGGTTCTTTCGGTAAAGTCACGTAGAAGGGAAATAATAAAATATAAAACAATAAACTTCTCACGACGTTTCGACTGCAACACAAGCAACCATCATCAGGTGTGAAAACCACAGCAAGAAAATTTGAAAAAAGTGGCTTCAAATTTTATTGTTGTGGTTTTCACACCTGATGATGATTGCTTGTGTTGCAGTCGAAACGTCGTGAGAATTTTATTGTTTTATATTTTTATTATTTTATTGTTTCCCTTCTACGTGACTTTACCGAAAGAACCAAGAATATAAACCTAGTAAACTTAGAAATATAATGCAATACAACACAGAGAGCCGGCTAACATAACAGTCAACACCCTACCTGGTTGATTACGTTCTTCCAAAGAGTGCTAAATTTTAGATAGAGACAAAACACAGACACGGAGACACATGGACAGACACATAAGCAGAGAGAGACAACACAGAGACAGAGAGAGAAAATAAACTTAATAAAACAAACGTAGTAAAATTTGGGAAAGTAATGCAATGCAACACAGAGAGTTGGTCAACACACAATTAACGCATAGCCTGGTTGAATACGTTCTTCCAAAGATTGCTAAATTAGAAGTTAAGTGTGAAATTTGAGAGAGAGACAAGACATAGACACGGAGACACAAACACAGACACAAGCAGAGAGAGACAACACAGAGACACAGAGGGAGAGAAAACAAACTGCAGGAAATACTAGAGAGACAACACAGAGACACACAGACAGTGAGAAAACACACTTAATAAAAATAAACTTAGTAACATTTGGAAATGTAATGCAATGCAACACAGAGAGTCGGTCAACACGCAATTAACGCATAGCCTGGTTTATTACGTTCTTCCAAAGATTGCTAAATTAAAAGTTAAGTGTGGAATTTGAGAGAGATACAAGACACAGACACGGAGACACAAAGACAGACACATAAGCAGAGAGAGACAATACAGAGACACAATAGAGAGAGAGAGAAAACTAACTTAAATCCTCCCCGTAGAAGTGGTTTTAAACTTGACTTGGAGCTATCGTGACTGCAGGAATTACTTTTTGGTTATTTTGGTAAAGTCACGTAGAAAGAAAATAAATTAAATAATAGAACACGACGCTTCAATTGCAACATATGCAATCATGATGATTGTACGGACCTGATGATGATTGCTTATGTTGCAATAGAAACGTCGTATTCTATTATTTTATTTATTTTATTTCTACGTGACTTTAGGTATTGAGCATTGACGAGGTGTGGTGACATCAACGGATTTGGCCCTGATAAGGATGCTGTGGTGACCTCAATACATCTGTGCACGTTATTTTGAGGACAAACTGTAATGCAATATATCAAAGAAAGTCACATTACGTCTCAGGACCCTTTTTATGAGCATTTCTAGTCATCGAAAAAAGATGGTCACTGCTTCACGCACTTTCAGATGGGCTTCTGCGGCCATCTTCCTTTCGAGGTTAGGAAGCCACTGGAGCTATTCTCTTTAAAATCAAGATTAAAAATTAATTTCTTTAGAACTACGTTTTCTGTTTAGTTTATTGTCCTTCCCTCACACCACTGATGAACGTGGTTAGCTACGCACGGTGCCAAAGAAGTTCAACATACAATACCATTTGCAAGTATATGTTAAACTGGTTTCAACTGGTGCGTGTTCTCTGGTTTTCAGTTCCGTCAATTCCCTCACTCAAACTCCTGTGAATGTGTTTTACAGGTCGTGGCTGGCGTTTGCATACTGTCTCTGTCAGCGCCAACCATCCGCTTCTTATTGTGTGTTGCAAGCGGCCCGCTCTTCATGAACGAACACCAACTTATATGTGAAATTAACCAGTTGGATGCAGACATGCCTTATGGAGAGGTAGCAGTCGTTATCCGTGACGTGTTTATGTACATGGTATTTGCATTTGCCGTGCTGTCTGTAGCAATATCCTATGCCATGACGGCTCGGGCCGCTAAGAAGGCCTCAGAGAAACACAGCAGCTTCTCTAAGGCCAGAAAGACCATAGTGCTGCATGGAATTCAGCTGGGACTTTGCCTCCTGCCAGTGGCCTTGCCTATGTTCTACAAGTCGGCAGAGTTGTTGCACCTTAACGCTGGGGCCACACTCATAGTCAGGGTTGCATTCTGCCTGGTGCTGCACGTGATCCCCCGCTTCATGAGCCCCTTTCTGTACGGCAGCAGGGACGAGGAGATCGTGAAACACGTTCGGAAATTATTGGGCATTCATTCAAAGCGAGTGATGCCATAAGTGGTCATGCTTACTTAAGGAAAAGGGATCAGCATTTATGAGGCTCTTAAATGCCATAGCGCTCTATTAGATTTAATTACATTTATAAACATTAATTAATGGAGCTATCCAAACATCTCAATATAGGGCGATGGTGCTGGAGAAAAATGGTTAGCCCTGGTTATCGCTTGCCTGTGGTTTCCTGTACTTCTCAATCTAATGAAAGCTGTGTGCATTACAATATTTGTGAATTCATAGTTATCTTAATCGACCCAATGCTCTGTGGCAGTTGAGCTAAACTTCTCGCGTTGGGAGCCATCTCTCCACAGCACAAGGTGTAGGCAAGCACCCTCAAGAATATGGGCATTGGTCGGCCAGTCGGAGAACTTGGTTGACTTTTTGTAGCTTTTCCCAATTACGTCGAAAGTTATATTCTAAGCAATTTAAAATTACTTGACTAATTTGAAGGATGGGTTTCTTAATATCATTTTTCTTATTTTTAAAATATTTGTATTTCTTTATTTGATTTGATGGTAGACAAATAAAAACATACCACCCAGCATTACAGATTGGAAGCATCCTTATTTACTGAACTCATTGTTGGGATTGTACAGGGTTTGGCCATTACAATTAAATTATTTTTAAATCAGACCAGAACTTAAACAATAATAAAGGTAACATGAGCATTGTTCTAAGAACCGACTCCATTGACATTTCTGCTGGTGTACAACTATGTGGAAGAAACAAAAAGACAAACTGGTGTTGATGGTGGTGCTAGGGGAACTTCATTGCAGTCAGGGGAGTTGCAGAACTTGTACTTTTACAATAAACACCAACGCACAAACAACGACACTCAACGCATCAAATGTAAAACATAGAAGATGCACGTGTTGCCACGACTACTGTATCACGTCCAAAAGTGTGAGCTGTTTTATGTTGACAATAATGAAAATCTATTGATGACAATTGTATTTAAAATTTTCAATCAGCTGTCCCCCCTGGACACATCCAAGTATGCGGCTCGCGATTTAATAAATAGTGGTCATGATCCTCAACAACTTGCACAGGGCAGAGAAACCGTTATACACGAGAACATTGAGAAAAGGCAGACAAGTTATATTTATAATGATTTGTATACTCAAAAAAATGATATGTTGGACTAACTTAACTTTTTAATGTCAACAGGATGCACACAACTGGGTTATGTTGCATTTAAGTAACATTTATTTCGGTAAACGTAAGTGAATTACTTAAGGTAAATGCAATGTTGTTTAGTTGAATCAACTTAACAGTCTTGGTTTTGTTTTAAACAATACAGTTTATTAACTACGATTATCCTAAAATTAATACTTTTAAATTCATCCAAAATAAATAATCCATTTTCATTCTGTTCCAGTTTTTTATTGAATCCATTCAATAACAATTCTGAAAACTTTCACAAAAAAAATTACAAGAATAACTTGCACAAAATCTGTAATCTAAAAAAAACTAACTTTACTTTTCAAAATCAAAGGCATCTACTTTCCACATTTTCCAAAAAGAATAACTTGTACAAAATCTGTAATCTCAAAAGACTAACTTTACTTTTAAAAATGAAAAGAATCTGCTTATTACAAGAAAATAAAAATAAATAAAAGCATAGTCTTTAAATTAAAGGATTAATAAAATATTCACATACAAATGTTATACTTGAAAAATAATAGCAGTCTTCTTTTGTTTCCTTTTAATTGCACAAGAACAAAAATAAAAATAAACAGTATTATGTACATAAATATATGTACTGCAACAGCCAAACAACAGTGCAACATTATGACCTCAAGTTACAGCGTTTACGAAAGGATTTTATTTTTCAGGACCTGGACCTTGTTTGACAGCTTGTTTGCATCTAGCTCCATAAAAATATTTTTAAATACTTCAAAAGTGTACCTCAGGTCTTGTGGGTAAGCCAAGTTTAAAGCGTAAATTAGACCAAGCATCACAGAACAAGCATTTACCACATTGTTCAGGTCTTCAAGTATTTGGACGCCTTCAATGATAATGCCAACATCTTCGTAAGGGTCTGTAGCATCTGCCACTTCATGTACGACGACATAAATGCCGAGGGTGGTGTTGCGCATTGAAGTTTGGGCTTCATCATGTTCAACGTCCTAAAAAAAGTAAAATAGAAATAGAAACAATTAATAACAGATCAGGGGTGAAAGTGGGAGTTGGTTTTAAAGAAACATACAAAAGGTTTCAAACAAAAGTAAACAACTTACCAAGTACTCCTTCACAAGGTTTGAGGGGTCTTCGTTCATGTAAACAGTAAGGGCTTTCAAGATGCATTCACGGTTTTTTTCGATGGTGTCATTCTGAAAAAAAATTGAAATAAGCATTAGTTAGCACTTTGATTTTTAGACTTGTTATTGTACCATTATAAGTAGCATTATACAGATTATCCCACTGTGTTGTTTTCATTCAAGTCAAGTTTGTCATTCTTGTGATTACATGAAGAAACATAAAAACTGAGAAAGATTAAATCCAGAAGAACTGCGTCAACATCTCCAAGACACCTGAATAAACCTTCCTGCAAAGCTACCTGAAAAACTGTGAGCAAGTGTACCTGGACAAAAGCTTTTTTAAGCGCAAAGGCTGGTCACACCGAGTATTGATTTTATGTAGTTAATAGAAGTTAAGTAAATAAAATCTATTTATGGCATTGTGTTTTAAAGCAGTACAAAAAGTACTGTGGCTTCGCAGGAAGGTTTCTTCAGGTGTTTTGGAGATGTTGACGCAGTTCTTCTGGATTTAATCTTTCTCAGTTTTTCTGTTTCTTCATGTAATCACAGACAGACTTGATGATGATGAGATCGAATCTGTGTGGATCATACTGGCTATTGTCAGACTCCTTGTGCATATAAAAATGTCACTGGATTATTACAATTAATGGCAAAAGTAATGTTTGGAAATGTAAAACGATATTTCGTACTGACACACTGCAGTAAAAGATTTAAATAACTGGCTTAAAACCATTTATTTTTTGTGTGAAAATATTAACATGCCTAAGACTTTTGCAGAGTACTGTATATACCAGACTTTAAAGGGAAACTTAACCCAAAAATTAACCCCCTCGATAACATGAGGCTATAAATAATGACTGAATTTCCATCTTTGGGTTAAATATTCTTACAATATAATATTAATTATTGTCAGATTTAAAATTATGATGAATTTAGAGAACATACCCGATCCATAACTGACAGGATGTTTGTCATCTTCTGTGTTGCTGTTCCTCCTTTCTTTCTGAAGATTCTGAGGAGCTGGGTTGAGAAATGATCCAGCTGACCCATAAATTTGGACACCAAAGGGATAGTTGTAATCCTACTGAATTCTGCAGATACCTAATACAATTTTGAAAGGACAAATCATGTTGGCTGCTGATAAACATGTTTAAAAAACATTAAACATTTTTTTTTTACCAGCACTTACAGATGACATACAAAATTACAAATGAACATTTTCATATTTTAGAATTATAAAAACCATCCAAGTATTTAATCATAACTGACATTACATCAAAGACTTACCTCTCTCTCAGTAAAGAGTGCTGGCCATCTGTTCCTAAACTCAACGATGAACGGCAAATCTTCTACCACCTCATGCCTCCGGAGCGCAAATGTTCTCTCCATCAGGACCTTGATAACCTGCTCATTGTTTCTTTTAGTCACCTCAGACAGTAGTGTCATCCTTTGCTTTTCAAGCGTATCCTTTGTTTCACCCAATGGGTAATCTGGACAGTAATTAACCTCCGCTTTTCTAGGTTTCTTCACTTTGTTGGGACTTCCCATGGATCTTTTTCGCTTGTGGGAGTTGATGTTTAACTCAGAACATCCTATGTTCCTCAATTTTGTTCTGTAGTTTGCCATCTTATATTTCAGACTTATTTTCCAGCCATAGCAGCCGCTCACAGAGCCTTTTTCTTTGAGGCATGGGTGCTTCTTTAGCAAAGGAGCAGCAACATCATCAAGATCTGCACTTGTAGGGTATGCCTTGTACTTTATTATTTCTGAAGCTAAAGCATCCAAAATATCAGACTTCAGTTTGGCATTGGGGCTCAGGACAGTACCATCAGTCTGATAAGCAAGTTGAGCCTTTTGCAGTTGAATCTCAGCATCAAAACTAAACTGTGGTATTGGGAAACGTTCAGGCCATGCCTGACTTCTGAGGACACAGATTCTGGAGTTCAAAGTCAAGATGACTGTGAGTATGAAATTATGTCTGTGTCACAGGATGATACTGAAAAGGTCTCATTTATTTCTGGCACAGATGAAGTAGTTGGGAAACTTATAGATGAAGGCAACTGAATGACCTTGAGTGTAGCTTTATCCTGTATGTCTGAAGTTGAAGTGAGGTTGACAAAATCATTAAAGTCCGGATCTTTGAATTGAAGTCGAAAAACTTCAAGTACTCGCAGTTGTGTTTGGATTTCTCTTTTAAGGTCATTCAACGAGTTTGGTATACCAGTTGGGAGATTTACCCTTTCACAATTATTTTCTCCCAAGATTACTAGAAGTTTAGCTGGGGTACCCATCCTGTCAAACTTTTCTGAAAGATAGAGGGGATGAATATATGAATATAATACCAGAAGACCAATCCAAACTATTGACATTAAATAGATGTTTACTATAAAATGAAATATACATAAAATATACAAGTCCACACAGGACTTCAGTGGCTGGTTATTACACCTCATCTAATAGTATGTGTCGTTTTAGGGTAATCATCCGGACACCACCAACCTTATAATCTGCAAGAGGGTATGGGTCTTTCAACTCATTGAGGGTAATTAAGCACATTTCAAGAGTTGGTACCAATTCAAACGCCCTGAAGTGCTCTCGATACCATGAACACATTTTTTTGGCAATGAAAGCAAGGTTGTCTTCGATTATACAAATTTGAGCAATTTCTGCAAATTCTGGAAGTCCACCAAGAGACCCATGGGTAATTATCATGCCATTTCGATACATAATGCCATCATAAGAAACATTCTGAGCAACATTGACAGTGGTGATGCCAGGATATCTAGAATTAAGGCAACATACGACATCCTCTTTCAAGACCTCAACCGTGATGGTAGAGACACATCTGTCCTGTAAGGTGGTCTTTTCAGGGCTGGATATCTGGAGGTTATATCCAACCATCAAATGGTGTTTTCTTGCCAAAGTTAGTGTTATGTTCTTGAAGCAATTTGTGTGCCTAACTACTTGTTTGAAGTAGCTATGCTTAGCTTCAAAACGCAATGTCCAAAGAATCACTAAAGGACCAAAGCAGCGAATCATTTCTGGATAGTGCTCCAAAAAGTGATGCTTTGGAAGCAGCTGTTTAAGTGGGAAAAGCTCCTGATACATCTGACGGTGTTCAGAGATCTTGCATTCCAAATATGCAATGGTCTCATCTGTATGAACTAAAGACACAACCAGTTCCACAATATCCTTCAAGTCTAAAATCAAAAGCCACACAGGTTCATCTGCAGGCACCAAATGCCCAATAAAAAATGGCAGCAGTCTTAACAGACACCAATTTTCATGCGCATTGCCACCAACTGATTTTCTCCTTGCAAATGTCTGTGGCACCAATTGAGGTCGATTTGTCTTATCACCCCACTTGTACGGAAAATTATGAATGAGTTCATTGAGCAGATCAAGAGACAAGATCTTATTTGAAATAAGTACAGAAAAGCACTCTGCTAGCTCAACTGGTACTATGCCTTCAAAAAGATCATGAGCCCAATCAGGAGGCTAGCCTGTTGTAACATTAAAGTAGCTAAGGCAGTCACTGAAAACACATGCTTTTTCACAGCCATGACATTCACACCTTTCTCCTTTGCAAGTTTCACATGTCCCTGGTGTTCTTCTGCAGTCCTTAGTGTAAATTCACCTGCCTTCACTTCATTGGTCTGAGAATCTGCACGAGAAGCTGTACAAAATCCACAACAGTACTCTCCTGAAAAGTTCTCAATGAAGCCAGCCATTGAATGTGCAGCAAGAATATCGGCCACAACAAATTGAACTGTTCCTTTAAGGAATGTTCCCAGCTGGTGGACAAAAACACCTTGCTGTTCCAAAGTTTGGAGATCTTGCAAAAGAGGTCGCAAGATTTTCTCAAATCCGTATGTTATCACGTCTTCTGTTTTGCACAAAACGGCAAGATAAATTGAAGACAAAGTTGACTGAAACATGTGTTGAGGAGTTCCCGACGACGACTCGGAGACGGCTTGAAGGTAAGGGCTTTCGCCAAAGGTTTATTAAGTGTATTACAATAGCACAAAGGGTGTGACAACTTCCCAGGGGTTAGGGGTCCTACACTAAGTCCTGGTCCAGCCCGGCTAGCTCCGGTCTCTCTCCCTCGAGTCGGATGGGGGCACTATCCAACCCCACCGACCGGGAAGAGCAGCACCTCCTACGGTTACCACTGGCTTCACTCCTGACTCTCGTCGATCCCTCTCTACCCCTGGTTCCCTCTCCACCCTTCTCACTCTACCCGTTCCCACAGCGACCCCGCTTTCGTCACGGGGTCCCCCTTAAATACTATACATGACGTCATCGAGCCGCCCAGCACGCATGACGCCACGTTCCGTGACGTCATCGCACTGGACGGCACACATGACGTCACGTTCCCATTTTACTCCTCTACACATGGATGGCACATTACCCAAAATCCAGTAGATTGCACATATCTTGTGCTTCTTGATGTCCCGAGAGGGTTGCAAATTTCCAAGTCATCGACATATAAGCACACAGATATCCTCAACTCATCTGAGCAGAAATTATTTGCTTTAAAAAACAGACCATACTGAATTGACCTGTACTGATGGACATCTCTTCTTAACAGTTGAGAACTGTGACTTTCGACCACTTTGTCTAGTAGGTCATTCTGACCAAGTAGATTCTGTAAAGACTCAAGTATTGGAACATATTCAAAAGTTCTGTTTCCCTTGGCCTCAAGAACATACTCCACGGAGTCTAAAACTTTAAAATTTTCCCTGTAATATTCTTTACGCTTAAATGCAGAGGCTAGTGGACCACCATGCTTTATTGGAGTGAGTAAAGGATTTGTTGTACTTAAAGATGTAACAAGGTCTTTGACTAGAAACTCATCATTGTCAATCCTGTGCTTTTGTAAGGTGTCTACAATAATTCTGTATGACAAAGGAAAAGAAGCATCACTCAGTAAATAATGCAAGTCCCCCAACAACTCATCGACAGCTGTGCCTGGGACATGATAGTGATTCTCCAGCTTCAACAGCAAAGAAGCAAATTTAAGCTCTACCAACTTTGGCACGTTCTCTGGAACCTCTCCTGTATCAATACAACTGGAATCCTCCTCTAACGTAGATGTATTGATTTCTTCGTTTGAAAGAGTGTCATCAGATATTCCTCTTACCTCTTGTGTTTTCACTATTCCTTCCTTAAAATCAGTCAACGAACACTGACAATGTTTTCGCCTCTTATGTGATTTGAATGTGCTATACACATTTGATTTAAACGAGCAGTCCTTAAACATACAACTTACTGTCTCATGACTGCGCAAATGCTTATTTATGTGCAGAAAGTAATCATTTACTGAAGGAATGTCAGTAACACCACAAACATGACAATTTATCTTTGTACTTTCGCTAGAATTTTGCTTTTGAGGTTGCTGTTCACTACCATGTGATCTGCATAAGTGGGACCGCAGTGCATTCCAGGTTTTAAAAGTGCATGGACAGTAAGAATATGCGCATGGATATGCGTGTCTGCGGCCATATTGTCCATGCACCAACCTGAAGTATTTTAAAAGTTTTGATCTAGATGTGAGACGAGCCACAATCTCTGCACAGTCACATGTAGGACTCTAGAACTCCAAAACTCTGTGAGAAAAAAAGAGATGTAAGTCACCAAAGAATAATAATATAAACAACACTGTAACACTTTATAATAACGTTCAGTTATAAGTGACTTATAAGTTATTAGTTAATGATAAACTAATAATTAACAAAACATGTCTATATTCATAAATGATTAATAAGTAATGTGCTAACATTTTATGAATATTTTGTTAAATTAGTTATAAGTCACTTATAAGGTTATTAGTTAATGATGAACTAATCATTTACAAAACATGACTATACATTCATAAATGACTAATAAGTGATATGCTAATTTTTTATTGTTTTGTTAATTCAGATATAAGTAATTTATAAATTATTAGTTAATAGGTTCATAAATTATTAATAAGTGGTATGCTATGCAGTAAAAAAATCTGTATATATCCTTGATAAATAGTTTACACTTTAGATTAGGCCTAACCGACAAGCTTACATTACTTGTTAGCTAACATCAATGCCATCTTATTCATGTGTCAAATGTGTTTATAGCTGTTATTTGGGTCTTCCAAAGTTTGAGTGTTAACATTTGACATTAAATAAAAATGCTCAACACCATTATTTGAGACAGTTATTAAAACTGATAACATTACTCAAATGTGAAAAAGTGCTTTGCTTTATACGGTAACATCACACACAACAATCCGTTAACACATAAGTGGAGAAACTCTTATTAACTAGCAATTTAATAAGTAATTTGTGTCTTTGTGTGGGGAAATTCACATCAAAGTTTAACAAGTATATATATTACATAAGATCGAAACACACGAATGTAACGTTATAGGCCTAACTAACAAAAATGCGAAAAACACACGAGGAATGCGGCAACTTCATTAAAATACCATAAAAACCATCTACTGACAGCCTCTAGCCTATATAAATGCATAAAAAGTAAAATACCTCACCTCTGTGTTCACAAAGACAAAACGTTGATTGTGAAATGTTGCATTTG